CCTATTCCAAGCCCTCCCACCTTGCATAATTTACCCCTTTGATCAGCAGGCATTGTGGGTTCAAAGCAAACAACTTGTGCTCTCCTTCCCTAAATTTTGTAAAATTACTCTTGGCTGTAGGTGCTACAGATATATTTCCAATTGCTACTTCACCCTGCTGCTGGTAGCTGCAGGATTTTGTCCAAAGACCTGGTCCTTTCTGGCCAGCAGCTGTAACAACTCAATAAACGCTTTTATTTAGAAATCCTTTGGTCTCAAGAGTTTTGGTTTAACAAGTTCCACTGGGTGACTTGTTAAGTGGAAAATACCTGAACTGTGTCCTTTCCTCCTTGTACATGCTTACACTATTCTTAAATTCCAGTGCCTTTTTCCATCTCATGAGAGGCAAAATGTTTGGAGAAAGCAGTTTTCTTTTTCTCTTAAATTAATTAGTAGTCTAGCTAGGATCGAGGGTGTTTCCTGACCTTAGAAGTTACAAGAACTTTTCTTTTTTATATTAGAGAACACACAACACAGATTTTTTCAGTCCAATAAAACATTCCATCCTGCTTTTAGGATATAATTGGTAATAAAAACACTTCCTGGGTGCTAATATTCTAGCTGGAATAGCATACTTAAAGATTAACGAGAATTCAAGGCCACATGTGATTAAATGCTCTAGGAACTCAGAGGCAGAATGGCCTACATTTAATGTGGTCATGAAAATCTTCAGTCCAGAAGCAGAGGTTTGAGTGGAACCTGGAAGGATAAGTGATATTGCTATGAGTATAGGTATGATGACATGTCATCTTTATTAGTTTCTAAAGGACTATGTCATTTTTTGCCCAATTCTGTCCTACAATAAATATTTGTTGAATTGAATTCGTTGACAGGGATGAAGGTAGAGCGTTTTCTAAGATGGGGTTACAACATAAAAAAATGCAGTATATAGATGAGCCTTCTCTGCTGGGAAAACCCAACAAGGGTCTGGCTATGGGAAGGCTTTCTGCTGGAAATAATGAGGACAAAGGTCCACAGAAGCCAAGATAAAAGGACTAGACCTTCTCCCAAGGCAACGAAGAGTACAGAAATTTTTGTAGCTAAGGAGTACACAGTATGAAAACTAACCATCAGTAAAGGAAAAGGAGGACGGAGGTGTGGTGCTGTGACCATGGAGGGCAGGCTGTGCCCTGCCCTGAGTCACTCTGTGTTGTAAAGCAGCGGGAAGCCCTGAGATACTCCATTTTGAATGCAAGTGCTCAAACAGAATGACTTAACCACTTGATTGAGCAAAGAGATAACCATCAGATGTTGGGTGTACAGAACTTACAGGAAAGAATAACTCCCAATAGCTCGGTACAATAATAAGGCACAAACTATCAATTGTGCTGATAAAAATGACCACCTGTGGCCGGGTGTGGTGGCGCATGCCTGTAATCCAGCGGCTCAGGGGGCAGAGGCAGGAGGATCACAAGTTCAAAGCCAGAAACAGTGAGGTGCTAAGCCACTCAGTAAGACCCTCCCTCTAAATAAAATACAAAATAGGGCTTAGAATATGGCCTTCCCTCAGTACCACCCCCCCCCCAGCCACACACACACACACAAATGACGACCTCATGAAAGAAATCAAAGGCACATGGATTCCTGGGTGTATCAAACCCATACCAGGAAAACCAGGCATGTGAGCTTATCTGGCACACCAGACCACCCAACTATGCACCCCACCCTCACCTGAAATACATAAAGGAGAGGCATCTGGGATGGTGGTAGAGGGCAGTGCACACCAAGCTATCAGCTGTCAGACCACCAGGTGTTACAAGGTCAACAAGTGACTAACTCCAGACTCTCTCCGGCTCCCTGCTTGACTCAGCCCCCTTAGAAACTGCCTGCCGTCTGGCCCCTCACTTTGAAGGACCCAGTCCTGTTACAAGTTCCACACCTCCAACAAGTTCTTTGGCTGGGTTCCCCCTCATCCCATCACCTGTAGCCACTCTCACAACTATACCAGCCCTCTGCCTCTGCTTTCAGTTCTGCCTCTTAAACCCACAGCCCTCACCGACAACCCTTCTTCGCCATCTGTAACCCGAGTATCATTGTGCAGACGGCGATGCGTGACTCACTTGGTACAGACATTAACAATTAAGATTGGAATAGGATAAAAGAGCTAGCTATTGCCATAGTCATGACACCAGTGAACCATGGGCACTCAGTGGATCGCAGCTGATGAAAGTTGTGTGGCTTGTGAATTTATTGTTTCGACATTGTGGAAAGACGCGGATGTGTCTAGTGTGCATTAATGGATAGCACAGCTCATAACAATCATTTATAATAAGAAATACATAATTGGTTTTTGTCCCTTTTCCTGGCACACAGCTCCTAAAACATTTGGACTTTCCAAAGTGATTAGTAGTTTTTTGTATGCTAATGAGATAAAAATGACTGGGAGCTCCTGTACAGCCGCAGGACACAGGCTGGCTGCACTTTCAGTACCACTCCCCTCATCAAGACTGGTGTGGGGAAAAGGGGTAAATGGTTGAGGTATCACCAGAGGCCAGTGATTTAAACAGTCATGCCTACCACATGAGGCCCCCTTGAAAACCCAAAGGGCAGGGTTCCTAGAGCACCCTGGTTACTGAACACATGGCAGTTTCAGGAGGGTAGTGGGCTCAGAAAGGGTGTGGAATCTCCATTCCCTTCCCCCAGACCTTGCCCTGTGCATCTCTTCCATCTGGCTATTTTTCCTGTATCCTGTGCAATAAATAGTCTTTACAATAAATAAGTAAGCGTAAGTATAGTGTTTCCCTGAGTTCTGTGAGCTACTCTAGCAAATTAATAGAACCCAAGGAAAGAGTCCTAGGAACCTCAACTCACTGTTGGTTGTTGTAAATACAGATCACAACCTAGGATGTGTCTAGCATCTGAAGCAAGAAGGGTCTTGGGAGACTGAGCCCTTAGTCTGTGGGATCTGACACTATCTCCAGGTAGAGTGTCTGACTTGAATTGAATTACAGGACACTTCGTTGGTGTCTGGTGGAGAACTTCTGGGTATATGAGGAAAAGTCCCCACACACAGTTCGGTGACCCTAGGTTAGGTATTCTGTGTTCTGTTGACTCTGTAAGAGAGGAGAATGTGTTCATCTCTTATAGAATCATCAAACTGGGAAACACTTCACCTTTGTGGCTAAGCCCAAAGGCTTAGATTTGCACAAACCACATACAAATCCCAGCTCTGTCATTTCCTGGCTAGGTGATTCCTGAGCTTAACTTCTCTGCGTCTTAGTTTGATTATGCATATGACATAGAAATCATATTAGTCCCTACAACATATAATCGCTGAGAACTAAATGAGATAATTCATGAAAAGTGCTTCGTGAGTATAATGCCCGGCATTGAGTAAATTCTCAGTGAATTCAAAGCTACAGAGAAAGAAACAAGGAAGTCTTTGTCATTTTCCAACTCACTATAACGTTTCGCTAGTCCACGATTCAGGCAGGCTACAGAGTCTATGTTGTCTAGTTTATAAATTAGATTATATCTTATCCTTTAAAATCACTCAACTATAACTCTTTCATACTTTAGATACACAATCTGTTAAACAATTAAAATAGTGAATTCAATCCTTGCCTCATCTCCCACCAATTCTCACCATCCCAACTAGCTACTTCGAGACTAGGTTGGAAAGAACTGTAAGGGTAAAAGAAATTGAAGTTAAAGGGTAAAAGACCGGGCATTGTAAAGTTTCTAAGCTGCAAGGCCTGAGTTAAAATGTAAAGGACTAGGTATTGTTAAGTTCCTATGTTACATGCAAAACCTGAAATTCCTGTAGCTGTTAAGACAATGCTTGGAACAGCCCAGTAAATATTTCCCCTGACTGCTTGGTTGTTTAATAACTTAAGGGCTCTGTGTGGTCTTGCACGTAGACATTGCAGGGCCTAGACCAATCAGTTTAAATGTGTACCCCGCTTTAGAACTGACCTATCACCCCCGCCTGACCTGTTCCCGCCAATGAATGAACTAATCATGTCTTAGAATTATTGTTTGATTTTCCCGCGGTGTATGATAATTTGTTAAAGGAGACTGTGATGTATGTAAAATCCCCGCCCTCCCCAAAAAAGTGTACTTAAGCAGTGCTCAGCCCCTGCTCAGGGCTCTGGGCTGTTCTCCCTTCTTGAGTGGGCACGGAGCCCTAGCATGCTAGATCAATAAATCCCCTTCTGCCAATTGCATGAGTGGTCACTTGGTGGTCTCTTTCTCCGACGCTTCGCCGGACCCTTACAGAACTAAAAAAATTTCCAAGGAAGATTCAAAATCCAAAGATCCCATCTTTGTTGTCTCCAAGAATTAGCCTCCACCAGTTCCATCACCTTCTAGATCACAGCTTCCCACCTGGGGCGGGCAGGAGCAGAGTGACTATAGGAGGCTCCCAATTCAATATAGACGCAAGTATTATTTAAAAGCTGTTACATAGATGTCTTGTATATATGCCTATGATGTTTTCAAATTCTGTTATGATTAATATAAGTTATAAATTTATAAATTACAAATTACTGATTTGTAACATTTTGTCATTATGTATTTTCTCAATACACAGATAGTAACTATGCCACTACTCCCATGTGAGGGCCTTTAATATATTTTCATATTTCAAAGTGGACAGCCTGAGTGTGAACATCAGGAACAAATCAGGCAAGAAAAAACCTACCGGCCACCCTGTCCTTGGGTAATATGAAACTGAGTGCCTAGGTCCAAAGTCCAGTGATTGAAACAATTGAGATGAATACAAAGGTGCCGAGTACCTTTGACTCCAGGATCATGGGGGAAATTTTCTAGGCAAGAAAAATTTGAAACAGGAGAAGTCTGCTTTCCCTCTCATGTTCCTGAAAAAAGATGTCCACACATCTAAAGAGGTAGAATCTCTCTGCCTGCAAATCCTAGAATTTTTATCCAGGAAAGAGTCAACCAAGAACAATACCTGAATGCAAACACAATTAAACATGCAAATATCGCCAAGCAGCTCTTACCTGTCCTGCCATTCAAGAGAATTGGCTTGCCCTCCAGATCGCCTCGTATGGGGACAACTGTGATCTTATACTCTGTCCCGGGCTGCAGACCTGGAAACAAGCAGCCAGTGCTCGAGTGAGGGCAGACTCCAGCCCCCTCCCCCAACACTGCCTTTCCCCCAGACTTCTCTTGTGGAGGGGAGATGAGGGGTTCTGCTTCCCTCCCAAAGACTCAGGGTACGGGCAGATAAAGAGCCCCAGGATGGGTGAAATAGAAGGCATCACTGAAGAGGCTGATGGTGGGGGGCACAGGACAGAGGAGGTGAAGTCCGAGCTCTGGTTCCTTATTGGGCCTTCTAGCACTTATCTCCCAATTTTATTCATAACCCCAAATGTTTTTCTGCTTCCAACAATTATCTTCCCTTAAAAGTCTCTTTCCATGCTGGGGATATAGCTCAGTTGGTAAAGTGAGTGCCTCACATGCACAAGGCCCTGGGTTCAATCCCCAGCACCACGCCAAAAAAAGTCTCTTTCCTTTTCACTATAATACCTAGCTCCCTCTCCACACCTTTCTTTTTCTTTTTTTTTTAAATTATTTCTCTGTAGAAGCAATTTGAAAGATTGTTCCTCCCTAGCCACGCACTGTGGCAAACACCTGTAATCCCAGAGGCTCCAGAAGCTGAGGCAGGAGGATTGCGAGTTCAAAGCCAGCCTCAGCAAGTGAGAACTCAGTGAGACCCTCTCTCTAAATAAAATACAAAAGAGGGCTAGGGATGTGGCTCAGTGGTCGAGTGCCCCTGAGTTCAGTCCACAGTACCAAAAAAAAAGAAAAGAAAAAAAAAAAGAGAGAGAGAGAGAGAGATTGTTCCTCCTTATACAAATATTCAGACCCCAGGGGCAAAGTTCAGAAAAAAGTAGTGCATGGATATGCACATATTCCTACTCCAGTCCACCAACACAGAGGACCCCAAGATGTTCTCGGAAGGAGAAGAGGGCAGAACAAGGCCGCAGAGGAAGGTTGGCCATGGAGCGAATAAGCCTTGGGGCCCCAACTTGCAAGGGCTCCTTCCCAGGCGACTACTCAAAACTGCGCACTCCTGCTCTTCAAGAGGCCCTGAAAGGGGCTGGGGATATAGCTCAGTTGGTAGAGTGCTTGCCTGGCACACACAAGGCCCTGGGTTCAATCCCCAACACACACACACACACATACACACACACACACACACAAGGCCCTGAGAATTATATAAACTTCAAGCCTTGCAAAACTCAACCTCTCTGCATCCCCGTTTCCTGAGTTCCAGCTTCCAGCAACTACTCAGTCATCTAAAACAGGAACCCCTCCAGGGCCTGCCAACCCAACCCTCCCAGGGCTCCACAGACCTATCTCAACCTCCTCCCCCCCCCCCCCCCCCCCCCCCCACTTCCCCCTCCTCAGCAAACACCTCACGTCCTCAGTGCAGCTCTTACCAGTGATGTCATATCGGCTCTTTGGGTCACTGCTCCTGGGCACAGTGACTTCAGCCACCTCCTGCCCTGTCAAGGGCCCATACCGCAGCTTGTAGTAGTCCACCTGGGTCGGCGGGTTCTCCCACTCCACATCCAGGGAGTTTTCCGTCTCTTCTGTCACCCAGGCAGTGCCAACCACAGCAAGATCTAGGGTCAGGGGTCAGAGAGCACAGGAGACAGCAGTGAGGAGCAGAGGTCCCCATAGCCTGTAATGGCCATCAGCTACACAGAGAGAGCTGGCCTCAACCCTAGGACAGGGTCCTTAACAAGGATCAGATATTGCTCTGAATTAAGTGGTCACCCTTCAGGGGCAGCATCCCTTCCCTAAGAGACCACCTCAGAATGAGACGCTCTGGACTTTCTGCGTAAAGTTTGGGAAACGCATTCCAAATTTTCTATAGTATAACTTCTATCGTCATACACGTAGCTCCTCCCTCCATCTCCCAAATTATAGCCCTTCACTTGCAAATTCTTCTCTAAGGATTAACTCAAAGCTGAACTATAGAGTAGGTGAATTTCAACTTGGTCCTTCTATGAAGCCTTCCTGCAGTTCTAACAAATGTTAGTACTTCCGCCAGGTACCTGGTGTTCTTATGCTGCCCCAGCTGCCTCCCCTGTGAAGCAGGAGAGCACCTGCTCAGCTTTATTCATAGCAAAGTACTTTAGGCTAAACATTTGCCCTTCCACTCAGGGGAAAAGAACTGTGAAATTATAATTAATACAGAGAAATGGATCATTGATGTGGCTCTTAGGGAAGAACTTCGGAGAGCAGGGCACTGACTGGAGTCTTTGGGGAGTACTTTGAATTCCAACAGCTATTCCCAGGCCAATCGAGACTGACCTTGAAGGGAAGACAAGTCCCCAGGTTCTCAGCCTTGTCCTCTTCCACAGTCACTTCTCCACCTTCACCTCTTTGGAGGTGTTCCCACCCAGCTGGTTGACCAGTTGTCAAGGATGTGGGTCAGGGAACTCATGCATCAGGCAGGGTGTGAACTTGGTGATGTCAAGGTCCCTTGGTCCCCTGGAGTGTCCCTGACTCCCTATGTTAAGAATAAAGCCCCTCGAAGCCTTTCTCGGAAGCATGCCCTCCCAATGCTGGCTTCCACCTGTAGCCCAGGTCCTGTTTCTTGACATCCTTCAAAGATGAAATTCCTGAGAGACAGGTCAGGAGGAGAATAACGAAGGTGACACGCAGATTGTAGCAGAGGGCCTACATGGCTTAAGGGATTTGGGAGGGGTTCACAAATGAAAAGGCAAGGACTTAATGAGAATGTTCAAGATTATGATGAGGATGATAAGCCTTGCTGGGTCTGAGGCTCCCCTGAAGAGCAAAAGACAGAGGTTTTAACTTGAATCAGATTAGACAGAAAGACAAACCTCACAGTAGCCAGACTCTACAAGTCCCTAGAGCAAGATGCCAATAGGGGTTGCTACAACTTTCTGAACAGATATTACTCTTTCCCTTTGAGGCTAGACACTCCTGTCTGTAGGCAGATGCAGCTACAGATAAAAAGAGGGAAAGGAGAAAAGCAGTTAGGGCTTTTCACAGCTAGGGCTTGGTGTTCTGTTGGACCTAGAGCCCTTACCAGAACATGAGCATCAGACAAGACCACTCTGTAGCAAAAACAGGCCATTCTGTGACCACATCTGAACACAGACACAAATATGACTGTTGCCACACAAACAATGAAACATCCCCTCTCCTTCAGCCTCCCTCCAGTCTATCCTCTTTCTAGATAAGATCCTCTAAGATACCACCCACAGAATTACCCCTAGTTCCCCCAAATTACCTAACCCAAGCCTATAACCAGTCCTCCATACACTCCAGTCCTTTCTTACACTCTCTTACTGAGATGTCCCCACGAGTCCCCATGGTGTGCATTCTCCAAGCTAAAACAATCAATAAATCCAACCTGTTCAACTACAGAGATGTAACTAGGTGTCTTTGGCTAGAGGGCACCAACAAGGGTGATCAGAAATTGTGCCCTCAAGGTACTGTCTTTCCTGGCCCTTTTCAATTCTGACCCATCCCTCCCCCACCCTATTCCTACCATCAAAGAAGGACAAGCAGCCTGGCATTTCTGCAAAGATGACTCATTACATGCCAAAGTCCCACCCACCTGGATCTACCTGGCTCTCTCCCAGGAGGATCATCAGCCCCTGTACAGTATCTGGCACATGACAGGTGCTCAGTTAAAATGTTTTGAGTAAAGGAATGAATCGGAGTCTTTCAAACAGCTAGATTTCTCCAAACCCTGGAAGATCTAAGTTGCTTTAAGAACTTTCATGAGGAAACAAAAATTTCTAAGAAGTGAATATTAGCTGCTAGATAGGCAATTTTAGGGGCAAGAACCTATACTAACAGGGGAAAAGCCTCTGCCACTTCAAAAGACTATCAGCAGTGCTTTCAAAGCTATTTTTGCTACTGCTGTCGTTAAAAACCTTCAGAGAAACTTACCAGGACAGCCAAAATGGCTAAGTCACTCTGACTCATTCTTTTTATTATAATACTAAATTCTTCACCCAGAGGCATCCCTATCCACCATTTTTTTTCAATCTATAATGTATGACCTCAAACTGGGCATGCTCAGGAATATGCCCACCTCTACAAGTGATTTTGAGTCTTTCCTAAATGAATATGTATGAGTTTCCTAATAAAAGCCCCAGCTTGCTTTGTTCAGAGGAGAACACTGCTTTGAGAGTTATCCCTGGCACTCTGTGCACCTGCTGCAAGTATTAAAGCTCTCTCCACTCTTGTTTCCTGGTTGGGCTCATTGGCTTTGCATTCACCGAGAGGAAAACCCATTTGCCCTGATCATATTAGCCGTGATGCTTGTTCTTCCAAATATTTTGGTGGTATTTGGTGGTATTTGGTATTTGGCAGGAGACTGTCCCTGCAAGCCAGGCCCCACCAGCCTCCATCCTACTCTCAAGCGCAGGTTGCAACCTCTATGAATCAAGTCAGCCAAGGGCCTTGCCCTCTAGCCTCTGGGATCAGCCAGCAGCAGTCGCCAGCAGAAAGCAGGAGAGAGTTCATGAAACTGATCTTCACTCCCTTCCTGTGGGGAAACAGTGCCTGCCTGCATTCCTTCACCAAAAGTGCCTCATCAGGTATCTTTCCTGAACATTTCTCTACATTGAGTACCAGTGCCTGCCCCTCTCCCTTTCTGGCTGGGCTGGATCTCCACTGATGCTAGTCCTCGTGTTTTGCTCTCCAACATGCCTCTTTCCCTGTGAGTCTAGACACTCTTCCCTAAACTTCCTTCAGTTGTGTTTTCCTCTTTCCTGCTGAGATGAATCTAACTGACGCAGGCAGCTTCGGCAGCTTCTTACGTATTCCTACTTGAACTTGCTGAAGGCTTTGGAGTCTCCATGAAGGGCCAGGGATGCAGGTTTACTCTTTGGCTGCTTATGTGGGGTGCAAAGCAGCCAGACCTGACTAATTTCAGTGACACAAAGGACCCCTTAAACCCCAAATCAGCAGGCTGCCATTACTGACATGAAAGACCCAATAATCTGGGAGCAGCGAGAGAAGACAGAACTGGGACTCTTCTCCAGAACCTAATGGTTGTGTTTTTCAAACTATCTACTAGGACAATGTCCTGACCCACAGAAGGGTATCTGTGGGGAAAGTGTAAGAAAACACCCAAAATGGGGCCTCTCCTGGGAAACCTGGGGGCATCTGGCTGCTTCCTCACCTGTTGTGGCCAGGAGATGCTGAGGGCTGCTGGAAATATCTTTCTTCACGTTGCGCAGGGTGACTATATACTTGGTTCCAGGGAGCAAGCCAGGGATCTCATAGATGTGCTTCTCCTTGGGCACTTGGATCTGCTTCACAGAGAGCTCCTTCCCCAGGGGATAATAGCTGAGGAGGTAGTGGTCCACATCACTGGAGGGCTCCCAGCTCACCAGCAGGGAATTCTCTGTGCTCTTGAGTAGCTGCAGGCCCTGGGGGGCCACCACTGTGTGCAGAACAGGAACAGGTGAGGGGTGGGTGTGGAACAAGCATGTGAATCTAGCCAGTGGGTGTTCAGTGAGCACCTACTGCACACTTGGCACTAAGATGGCAGGCCTGGAGGAGGAGACTTAAGTATGCTCCTGTTACGGGACACACGCTTAAACTGTTATCTGGTTAGGAGCTAATACTGATACCTTCCCACATGGTGGGGAAGGACAGGTGCAAACCCCCACAAACAGAGTCTTTAGTGGTCCTCAAAGTTCAGGCCCCAAACCAACAGCATCAGCATTACATGGGAACTTGTAGAAATGCAAATTCTCAGGCCCCAGCCCAGACCTGCAGGATCTCAAGCTCTGGGGCATGCGTGTTTAAGAAGCCCTCCAGGGAATCTGCTGTAGGCTGAAGGCCGATACCCCCTCACAGGACCAAGTGCAAGTGATGGTTCAAGGAGTGGAGACCATAGGTGGAAGCAAACAAGGCCCCAAGGCACGTCTCAGCTCTCACCCTGGGAGCAGTCGGGGCCAGTGAAGCCCAGCTCGCAGTAACACTCGCCAGTGTCGCAGAAGCCGTGGCCGCTGCAGTCGCCCGGACAGCGTTGCTCGCTGCAGTCCTCCGACGTGAAGTGCTCGTGGCACTGGCAGACCCCGCGCACGCACACGCCGTGCCCACTGCAGTCCTGGGGGCAGGCCGGGTAGGCGCAGTCGGGCCCCACGTAGGGGTCGTCGCACAGGCAGAGCCCGTCCACGCAGCGCCCGTGACCGCTGCATGCCCCGGGGCAGGCCGGCAGCTCGCAGTCGGCGCCCCCCCAGCCCTGCTCGCAGTGGCAGCTGCAGGTGTCAGGGGAGAAGGTCCCGTGGCCGCTGCAGTGGCGGCTCAGGTCTGGGGGAAGACAGGAAACCATGGTGGATGGCCATCTCCTTGGAGACGGGTTAGAGAAGGCTCGGGGTATCTGGGTCTTGCCTGGCTCTTCCGGGGATGACCCAGTTCCAGTTCCCCATGTAGGACAGAGCCTCGGGCCCTTCCAGCTGGGCCCACCTCTAACCTGCCAAAGCTACAGGCATTTTTCTCTTTTTCTTGGTCTGAGAAGCTATGGACACCACCCTTTTCCCTTCCCAGATGACTCCCTGGGTTCTGTCCCCTCTGAATGATGAGAACTGTTCAGTGTTTTCCTAGGAATGGGCCTTGAATGTTCCAACGTGGCAGGTCGCTGGCTGGCTGACACAAAGGGACATGGCTTCTGCCAGGCAGGAGGGAGATTGTCCTCTAGCCGTGGGTGAGTGGGGCAAGGGACATGGCTTCTGCCAGGCAGGAGGGAGATTGTCCTCTAGCTGTGGGTGAGTGGGGCTAGACCTAGGAAGGCCTCAGAAAAAAAGGATTCCCTGAAGCTACAAAATAGCCCAGTCTCAATGATGGGCACGGGGACCTGGCAGGGGGATTTAACCTGGCTCCGTTCTGTAGCCCTCTATGGTAAGAGGCAGGGGAAGGGCAGGCCACTCAGCGCAGTGCCCTCTCTGTCCATTCTCAGAACACCTTTCTGGCTTCTCAGAACACCTTTCCTTCCTAAGGATGTGTCTAAGAGGGGGCTCCTCAGGGACTGGTCCACACTGTTCTATTCATGGCAGTGTCCCTGGTGCCTACATTTGTACCTGGCATTTAGGAAGTGCTCTCAACCCTAGCAATTCCTTCAGATATAAAAATCTGTGCCTCAGTACCATTGGTTGTCCTCTGGTTCAATCTAGGTGTCTTATGTTTTTAAAAGGGTGGGACAGAGGGAACTTCATTATTTGTAAAATCAAATTGTGACATTTTATTACTAATTAAATAGTCACAACCTCCAGAACATCTATCACTGGCCAGGAATCTATTACATATCATCTGTAATTCTCAGAACTAGGCTGGCTGATGGAATCATCCTGACTGGACAGTTGAGGAGACTTAAGGAATTTGCCAAGTCACAGTTGGCCTCCATCTTTCCTGCACACCCCACTGCTTCCCCTTTGAGTGGAGATTGGATCCGCAGGTAAGAAAGCCCCTAGAAGCCACACCCATCTGGAAACATTGCCCCAGGAGTCTGGTGTCTTCAAGAGCTGCTGGTCCCTCCCTGATCAGGCATCCAGATGTCCCCTGGAGCTGAAACCAAGGAATAAATAGTGGGAACGAGCCGGATCCCAGAGAAAACCCAGAGTGAGATGTGAGACTGTGCAGCCTCAGAGTGCTCCTGAGGCCCGTGGGTGCCCCAAGTGGGTGCTGAGTGACTGGCCAACTCACCAGCAGCTCCTGGGCAGCAGCGCTGGACGCTGCACTGCTCCTTCATCTCTGCCATCTCTTCCTCCAGCTTCTTCACCCGGGACAGGAGGTCCTGGACGCTGTCTGCCAGATCACAGTCCCTCTGTGGCGTCTGAAGGCGGATGTTGTGCCTGAAGATGAAGTTCTGCTCCTCCCCGGCCTCCCCCAGGGCCAAGAGCGAGGTCCCATCATCACTGAGGGACTGGGGATCAGTCTCCACCTGGACCAGGGCAGACTTGGGCACATCAATCTTGTAGGTGTGGCTGACGGTCACCTGTTGCTCCTTGTTGCTGCAGCCCTGAGACTCAGGCATGGCTGGGGCCGAAGCCACCAGGAACACAGAGCCAAGCAGGAGCCCCAGGGGGAAGCTGGACATTCCCTGGAGACCCATCCTTGGAGAGACAAGGAGCAGACCCTCCCTGAGACCTGTAGCCATAAAAAAAATACAAAAAAAAAAGCCATGCGATTTGTTGAGGGAAACTGGTGTTTTTAGCAGGTCCTAAAGAGGCCATAGGAAGATGGGAAGCCAACAGAAAGAACTCATCCTAGATCTCCTGAGGGCTGAGCAATATTATTTTCTGTTCCTTGCTCACACAGGCATGGTCCTGCCTCCTGCCTTTGCTTACCCTGTTCACACCATCTGGAGCTTCCTTGCTCTCACTTCTAATTCTAGGTTCACCTGCACTTTGACAATAGCAAGGAGAACAGCCGTCTTGTGTTGAGAGCCCACTGTGTTCCAGGCTTTGATCCTAATCCCTAATCTTGTCAACAGCCCTAATATTATCCTCTGCATAATATCAGCAATAATAGCTGCACGTGGAGTCCTTGCGATGTGAGAGGCACTGTTCCAAGGGCTTCACATCAGCTAACTCATTAGAGCCTGGTGACCCTTTGTGAAATATATTATTACTCCTATTTTACAGACAGGGAAACTGAGATACAGCTACAGCTACCTTACATGATTTGCTCACAGGCACACAAACAAAAGTGGCAGGATTTTTTAACTTATTTGTGTGTGTGTGTGTGTATGTGTGTGTGTGTGTGTGAGAGAGAGAGAGAGAGAGAGAGAGGAGCTAGGAATGGAGCCCAGCGCCTCACACATGCCAGTCAAGCACTGTACCACTGAGCTGCAGCCCCATCCCAGTCGGAGGATTTGAGACCAGATAACCTGACTCCAAAGACCAGGCTCATCACAGTGATGTCATGTTACTTTGCGCAGATGAGAAAGTAGAGGCTCAGAGGCCGAACAAGTCACCCTGGACACCACAGCCTCAAGGGCAGATCTTTACTCAGATCCAAATCACTGGCTGCAAAGCCAGCATCCTGCCTCCACAGACATACCAACAAAACATAAGAACCTCATCCACGAGGTCTCTCTCTCTCTCTCTCTTCCCCTGCCCCCCATCCTCTATCTCACCCCAGCTGGAAACCAGCTCTCCCTCTGCTAAGCGTTCAGAGTACTGAATGGTCCCACTCTGGTGGTCTCTTGTAGTCGCTCTTGAAGACAGCTTGTCTCCCTGCTAACCTGAACCTTTAGGACTGGGGTCCAAGGTGCGTTCATCATATTGTTGTCTTAAGGCAAAGGCATAGAGTCTCACACTAAGGGGTTCAGTCCCTATTACTCGAGGCCAGGGGTCAAGGGTGGCCTGGTGTCAGGCAGTTATGTTTCACCTCCTTGGCCACTAGGGGGCGATACGGGCCTTCACCGCCATCAGTGGCAGATGGACCCCTCTCCCCTCTGGTTCCCCTAGTTCCCATCTGGGTAGTTGTATACTCTGACTACTAAAGAGTCAAGGCAGGGCAGACCTAGAGACCCAGGTGGGCTCACAGGACACACAGGAACCTCATTCACGAGGTGAGCTTGCGTGGCCACAGGTATCTAGAAACCCATCCACCAAGCTGCCCCTTGACAATGGGCTTCTGCAACCCACACAAACTTGTAATTAATTGTTGGTGGGAGAGTTTGAAAGTCCTTTCCTGGGCCTGTGTCCTCCTCCACCCAGGCTTTCCTGCACATGGTGAGAGGCAGCCTAAGAACAAACCACACAGGCCCCAGGGCGTCAGCCTTGGGCGGGCCCTTCTCTGCTTTAGCCTCCTCCTCGGACAGGAAGGATGCTGCTGCCTCCTGTCGTCAGAGTGCTTAGCACTGTGCCCAGCACCCAGCAAGAGCTCAACAAACATTCTGGGGTTTGTTTTGTTTGTAAGAGTCTACCAAGGCTGGGGATATAGCTCAGTTGGTAGAGTGCTTGCCTTCCATGCAAAAAGCCCTGGGTTTAATCCCCAGTACCGCCAAAAAAAAAAAAAAAAGAGCCTACCAAAGTGATTTCCTGTTCATCCCCATTTTTTTTTTTAATTGTGAAGGATCGTACTTGGAGTAAAAAGCAGCACATAAACAGCTCTGCTTTAATGACTGGTAAAGACATCAGTCAGCCTTGCACCCACAATCAGGTTGAGAGCTGGACCATCGTCAGCATCCTAGCAGCCTCACAGGGCCTTGCCAGATGCTGCCTCTCTTCCAGCTTAATAGCTAGAACAGCACAAGACCATCAAAAGAACTGACCTGGAGGACAACTACACAGGTCAGAAAAAGGAATAAACCTTCCTAATCACAAATTCTAGTACAGAGTAAAGATTTTATCTTTTAAATGGTTATCATTTATGAGGTATCAGAAAATAGAGGAAATAAAGGATGAAGGGCCCTGGTAGAATTATTATTTAAAATAAAAATAATGGGGGGCTGGGATTGAGGCTCAGTGGTAGAGCGCTCACCTAGCACGCGCAGGGCGCTGGGTTCGATCCTCAGTACCACATAAAAATAAATGAATGGAATAAAGGTATTATGTCCAACTACAACTTAAAAAATAAATATTTTTTAAAAAATTAAATAAAAATAATAATATTACAATACATTACAGCAAAGTTCTGTTGTCCAATTGCTGCTGCATGCTGGCCATTGGCCAGGTGCATGGAGCCTCATTATTAAGGCTCAGAGGTGCTGTGGAAGGTCAGTGTTGTGCTCCTCACTTAGTGGGAGAGGAAACCAGGTCTGAGAGGTAAAGCACTTACCAGGGGTTGCTCAACTAGTAGGTGGCAGAGGCAGGATTCAAACCAGGTCCACACTATTGCAAGCCTGTGCTGGGTCTGTCAGCATGATGTTCTTACACCACCAGCAAATGAGCTCAGTATCAACAGATAACAAAATAAGTGTCTCATGCAAATAGCAAGTGAATTTAGTATATTCATGTCCCCAGGCAATTCCCTCATTTGGACACAGGTACTATATACCTCATACCCAAGGGATGTGCCACCACTGAGAACTAATCAGAATGATGCCAATAAAGAGTTCTTCTTTTATTGAGACATAACATCTGTGCGGCTTTACAGACACAGTGTGATAATTCAACACATGTACTCAGTGTGCAATGATCACATCTGGGTAGAAGCACCTCCACCCCCTGGAGCCTTAACCATTTTAATGTGCTGGGGGCTTGTACCCTTCTAGCCATTTTGGAAGAGAGAGTTCGTGTTACTATTTTGCTCCATTCACTCCTCTTTATTCTCCAATCATCCAAAGTGTGTATTGGGGCCAGTAATAATCATGGCAGCTCACATTTCCAAGCACCTACTGCACCTCAGGAGCAGGGCTCTGCCCTCGCAGCGGGAGTGGGATGGTCGGGGCAGTTCTTACTGTCCTGGGATTTGGACAGTGGGTAATAAGTGTCTGCAGACTTTAAAGAGAGCTGCTTTAAGACAGGTTTGGGTTGGGGTGAGTTTAGGGAGAATAGGGGGGTGGCAGGAAGAGAGACCAATACCTGACTCTGGCCAAGACTAATTCAGAGGTGGGCACTTGGCTCAGAGTTTGCCATTTCATGGGCATTCAGTAACTGGAGGGAAGTACAGTCCCAGCTAAATAAGAGAGCCCTTGGCCTGCTTCCCCAGCCCCCACCATGCAACAGGCAGCACCCGGGGAAGCCAGAGCTGCTCTCGGTTGGTGAGAAGTGGAAGAAGGGAAGTACCTGGCTGACCATGGCCCTGCCCTCCTGCGTGTGGTCTCCAACCTCATGCCTGAGCTGGGAGAGAGGAAGGAAACTGAGGCTCTGATATTGAAACAGATTTGCCTTCAAAAAGTGGTTCTTTTCTAAGCCCAAAAGCAACCAGAAAACTCGGGAATCTGCTGGGGACTTAAGTGAGGATGGAGGAAGCAGGAAAGCCTGTAGTGAGTTAGAAGGCAGATGGACAGAAATAATGAGATGTCGCCATCGCCATCTTAAAAGGTTCAGCCCTGTGATACAAAAGACACGCTCCAGTTCCCCACTTTCTCTTCAGGGTGGGAACTGAGGCTCAGAGACACTGAGCCAAGTGCCTCTGACCACACCACAGAGGAGGGCAAGGCCACACTTCAGGTGTGGGGTCTCCAGCTATGGGGCCCTTCAGCTTGCACGCTCTGCAATTTCCAGTAACAGCACACGTCCATCACCAAAGCTCCTACAGTGTTTCCACCCTAAATCCCCCTCCTGGGGAGCAACAGAGCCAGAGAAGCCTCTCTGCCCACCCCCAGCCTATGCTGACTATTCCTGAGACCTAAATGGAGTGCAGATGTTTTTCTGAATTAGTTCTGAACAAATGCAAAAAAGCCAGGGACTCTCGCCATAAACCACAGCAAGGCTGCCCAAAGCCCGTCTCACTGTGTTTGTTTTGAAGCCTGGAATATGAGAAACCCCAGAAGCTCTCGCAGCCCTCCCTGTCGCCTGTCCTTCTGAATTGTAACAAGATGTCCTCATTAATTGCAGCCTCTCGGATTTCACATGTTGAGATCAGATTTTCCTGGGCAGGGTAATTTCTCGAAAGAAGATGAGCTGGGAAATCCTCAACCTAACAAGTGTAGCGAGCAAGGAGAGAAGCTGTGGGCTCCCACTCCAACACGTGGCAGGAGACTTTCCATGTTGAACAGCACAAGGAAGGGATGACTTCATCGCTGCTTAGGTATGCACTGCACACCACAGACTGCGCTCCCCAGGGCTGGGTTGGAGGGCTCCCAGTTTCACGGAGAAAAACACAGGATGAGACTTGTGAATAGAGATGAATATTCATCCTATGGAGGGGTAGCTCCCTATGGAAAGTGGGGTAAATGCTGCAGGAGTGCAAGAGGCAAAGGGCATTTACATACAGGAAAAGTGCCTACAAGAAACCTGGAAACCAGGGGCTCGTCAAATTCACTGTCTTGCTGCAGCTGAGCATGTGTTTAATTCTGACTACAGGAGAGGGCTGGGTACAGCAGAGAGACAGGAACAAACTGCTTGGTATTGTTCTTCTGAAGGTTTTGCTGAGTCTGAGCTGGATGGATGGCCCTCGGGTCTGCCTTCAGAGACCTGCTGATGTCTCAGGGCTCTCTGCCTGTGCTCTACGTCCTCTTGGTAGCTGCACCTAGTTCTGTGGCTTTAATTTCCAGACAAACATTAACAGCCCCCAAATCCATATGGATGCTTCTACCCAGATATCCTTATAAGCTCAGGGATGACAGTGGCTAAAACTGTGTTGATACCCTCTGTATTCCCAGTCTCACAGTACAGTTCTGGCTAAATATTTTCTGAACTAAATAATAGCCACTGGAATTTGGGTGTTTAAAGGTGATGGGTACTGTGCCAAATACTTTACAAACATTATTCTCATTTAATCCTCAAAATGCTGGTGGTCAATTGATGACATTCTCTGTTAGAGGTGTCTAGAGGTGTTAAGGACCCCTTAGTATCCCTTGGTCCTTGGAAAGATGAGCTCTTTCCCAAATAGGGAGTTAAATCCCAGCCAGTTTCATGAGAAGCTGGAGAATTCCCTTCCCAGGAGACACCACAGTGCGCAAGGTCCCTGTGTGCTGGGGCAGATTCTGATAGGAGAGAAGGCCAGACTCCCAATCCCAACAGTCCTCTCCGACCCCAGGCCAGAAGACCTCTGTGTCACCTCATTCTCTCCAAAGAAGGACACACACTCTGGGTCAGGAAATAACAGTACTAATTACACCAAAGAGATCGGTAGCCAGTTTCTAACCACTGTTACAGATCTTTATCCAGGTCCTTCTCTCATTCCCTCATTACCTCATCCTGCCTGTATGGTTGACCACAGGCAAATGAGAGCCACTGCTTTAGCTTTTAGGGGGGAAAATGGTATTATCCTGGAGTTCCAGAGGAGTCACTTAAGATATTCTGTCCCCAAATGACAAAGTGGACATCACTGAACTATGGAGGGAAATGAAGGAGGTGGACGCTAGGGATGCATCAATCACAAATGTCACTGGCAAACTTGTCACTCCTTTGTTAATTCTCTTGAGCATGTTTTGCTGGTGATCCCCAACCTAGGCCCCAGATGACTCAGGGGTGACTCGGGGGTCTTGTGACCCAAGTACTTGGTCCAGGAGAGTGAGTTCTCAGTGGCTGAGGAACCCATGCTGGCTCAACTCATTCTGCACTGAAGACCTCTCCTCTCTCTCTCTTCCTCCCTCAGTATGGAAGAGTGAGTGGCATCCAAGGCACATTGTCTCCCCTAGGTCAACTCCCAGTTGAACCAGGTACATACAAGCACTTTTATTTCTAGTCTCTGTGACACTGAACTGTCTACATAGCCATTCCACATAGGATTCGGGATGGCTAGGTGAGGATGAGGATGAGACTGTGGCATTATGTGATAGGCCTAATATGGTCATATTCTGGGTGCACCCCACCCCAGTTCAATTGGATCCACCCAGTGAGCCCCCAGGAAGTGCCTGCAGATGATTCTCACACCGTGGCGCAATGACCATCTTCCTGAAGACCTCTTCCCTTCAGGGTTGCTGCCCACTACAGTAGAAAGGATAAAGGGGGCGCCTGAACTAGTGTTAGCACTCAGTCGCTTCTCAGGGGTCCCATCAGGCTTATTTTGTTTTGTCAACTGAATTTTAATCTGCCTTGAAAAGGCTCAAGTGGGTGATGATAACAGTAGCTCCCACTTTCCAAGCATTTTTACATGCCAGGCGCTATGCTAAGCACTTGTGAGATTCTTCCTGAACATCAGGCAGAGCGTTCACTCACCCCTATAGGGATGAGGTACTTTCTCACAGAAATTCCTCCTTTAGCTTTCAAGATAAAATGGATACAGGGCCTAAATTCAGGAACCTTCTTTTTCCACATCCAACCAAACACCCAATCCCTAGCTGACTGATATTTGATACAGAATTAACCCTATTCCCCAAGGGTATAAGGGGCATCTATGGCAAACTCTGCTCCAGCTAAATGATAATGAAGAGAGGCACATAATGAAAAGTTAAAATCCTTTGTTTAGTTTAACGTGTGGTTTTCCACATATTGAATAACTTCAAAGTCTCTGCCTTCCATCAAGGAGGAGAAGCCATTGCTAATTTCCAAGGATCTGCCCTGTTCCACCCACACTCGCTGGGCAGATAATTCCGTGGCAGCTGGTTGGCATTAATGAGAGTCCACTGTGGAACAGGCAAAGCCCCTGTCCATCAGAGATTAGGCCTGAGAGCTCAGCTTCACAGGCTCAGATTGGTGGCTCCAAATGCTGCTACAGAACCTAAACCATGATCTCATGTCTGCAGCCAAACCCTATAGGAGCCAGGGCTATGGAATGAGTGGTGGATGGACAAGAGTTTCCATGGGCCTGGGCACAACTCCCTCAGGCATTTCTCAGAAACAGACCTCAGTCTACCCTCCATTTCAAACCACAGAACAGCACTGGATGCAAACCAGAAGCCACGAGACGATTTGGAGTCATCTGTCCCATTTTCTCTGTTTTGGAAGTCAGCTGCAGTCTGCATACTTGGGCATACAGCAGGACTCAAAGTGGGGTGGAAGCATGTCAGGTGCTTTTATCCCTCCTCAGAAAAGAGGACACTGGTGCTGACACTGTTTCTGCCTGAGTCCCTGCTCCCCACACTGTAGCCGTCACTCTGGATCTGCAACTAATGCCCAAATGCCAATGGCAATGAGTCTTCATGCACATCCTGTCCCTGCCAGCTTCTAGTGCATAGCCCAGGCCCAGAAGGCATCACCTAACATCTTGGTGCTGACACCAGTGACTTGGACATTGTGGCTTATCTATTTCCAGCTGTGGGAACTCGTTATTTCTATACTGAGATTGTTCCTTTTTTTTTTTTTTTAATGTTTATCTAAGTAACTCAAGTTTTATACTTTAAAGTGAAATCCTGCACAGTCTCATTCATTCTTTCTCCTCTTTCCCCAGCTCCCTCCCAACCACAAAAATTAATAATAAAGTCAGACCTCCAAAAACTAGTCCAATCACATCATTCTTGAGATGTTTCAAAATGGTTTCCTTGAGGCATTGTGAGGGTAACTGGGAATTTGGGAAAAAGAAATTGTCCTCTTACAGGTAATAATTAAGATCAATTAAAACTCAAAGTTCTGCAAGTGAGTTTGCAAATATAATCTTCGTTGGTGCATGTGAAATCCAGAAAAAGGGAAAATTATACTAGCTTCCTGATCATAACTGAAATAAAAATTCAGTTTTAGGATTTAAAAGAACAGTGAGATATAACAGATAAGAACTTTTTTAAGGAGGTTTTTGACATTGTAAAGAAGTCAACAAAGAAAAAAGATGAGAAATACATGCTAGATCGACTCCAAGGAAACACTTTATCTAAACATGTCCTACTCCAGGTAGCAGCTAGTACAACACCAACCGCATTTGGCCAGATAAGGAGATGCTGGACTTAGTCCTGTCGGAGGACAGAGTGTGACTCTGGCTGAGGATGTCGTACGCAGGTCCTGGAAGATATTTCCTGAATTGAATTTAACCTGCATTACACTGCTTGGGTTTTCAGGTTTGAACTGAGGCACGCGAGTCCAGTGGCCCCTGACCATCCACACCGGGCGGCCTTCTTCCCTCTCACAGGCAGAGCTTCAGCGATGGGTGCACTTACCTGGGAGGCGGCTGGGCACTGCTTCCGGCACCCCTGTCTCCTGCAAGCTGGGCTCCTGGTGCTGAAGACCCTGGTGCTGGTCTGTCCTCACTCTTCTCTCCTTGGCTTCCCTCCCTGAGTTTAAATCCTGTCTAGGCCAGGGGAGGAGCCAAAGGGGACTCTTGGGTATTTTCCTCCCTTCCTGGCAGAGATTCCTTTAAAGATTGAGTAATTCATCCTCTTATTCTAACTAGGGGAGAAAAAATATACATTTCCCCCTCTTTTTCACTTCGATTACACAGGAGCTAAAAATACTAAAGGCTGTTTCCATTTAAGTGGATCCAGAATAAGGATATTAAAAAAGTTTGCACGTCCCCTGGCCAGGAGCTGAGTCTCAGGGTTGGGAAGTAAGTTTAAAAAGCCTCTTTCTGTTTTCCCTGTTGCAGGCATTTGGGGATTTATTGCCTCCTACTTTTAAAATAGGAAAGGACCTTTAGCATAAAGAAAATGAGCGGAGACCCTCAGAGACAGAGCCTGCTCTGACTCCTACCTCTCACCATCTCACACGTACCTGGGAGCCGCAGGGCTCTGAAGGGGGCTGAGAGCAGACCTGGGGCTTCTGGGTCCACTCGGACCAGGTGGGGACAGTGGTGCCCCTTGCAGGCCACCTTCCTCTTTTGCCATCTCACGGGCAGACTTCTCCTTTCTATGACACAGAGCTATTTCAGTGGGTCACAGGTGGCACCTGCCGCTCTTCCCTCCCCGTGGTTCCTCTCTCAGCCTTCCTGAGTAGATTCTGGAGTGCAGATCCACAATGAAAGGAGCCCATCGGTTTCCAGTCACCCACATGCAGCCAGATACCAAGGAGAAGGAAGAAGGTAGGATAGGAGAGGTGGGGAATCAAGAGCTGCCCTCGGAAGTTCTGTTACCCATCCAGGCTGTTTGTGCTCGTCAGGGGATGCCGATACTGAGACGGTGAGTTTTGTGAAAGAGAAAGGGTTTGTTCACAAGGCAGCCACGCATGGGTATAAGAGAGCCGGTCTCAAATTCTCCTCCCTGAACCTAGGGTTTAGGGTCATTGATGAGATAAAGAAGCAGGGTGGTTTGAGGTGTGGGGAAAGTAATTGTATGTATAGAAGCAACTGGTGACCTTTGCATGCCTAATCACACATCATGGCTCTTCATGGGATATGTGTTCAGAAGATGGTGGGGTTAGCATGCTCTGGGGCTGGGGTTTGGCCCTCTGACATCAAAAGGTTGCCCATTGGACACTTGTGCACGTTCAAGTGAAGGGGTCAGTGGTTTAATTGGTTCGGGATGGATAACAGTGGCCTCCAAGTTCTATAAATAACAACGTAGGCAACTATTACCATTGTAAGCAACATGTCAGAGGTATTATCTATAGAAAAGCTACGAAGAAACTGTGTTAGCCTGCTTTTCATTGCTATGACTAGAATACCTGACAAGAACAAGTTGGAGGAAGAAAAGCTAAATATTCGGGAGCTCATGGTTCCAGAGGTTCAGCTCATGTTGGCTGACTCCATTGCTATGGGTCCAAGGTGAGGCAGAACATCATGGCGGAAGGTCATGGTCAAGGAGAGCAGCTCAGCTCCTGGCAGCAAGGAAGCAGAAGAAGAGTGAAGGAGGAGCCAGAACAAGCTATGATCCCCAGTGGTCCTCCCCCAGGGACCTACTTCCCCCAGCCACACCTCACCTGCCTGCAGTTACCATCCAGTTAGGCTATTCAAAGGACTAATCCATCAAGTGAATTCATCCACTGATTAGGTGGCAGCTCTCATAATCTAATCTCTTCACCTCTGAACATTCCTGCATTAACACAGGAGCTTTGGGAGGACACCTCATATCCAAACCATAACAGATGCTAATATATTGCTCAGCTATATGACCTCTAAAGTGGGTGATAAAAGCCAGTGAAGTAAGTTAAGTCTGAAGGTTTTATTCAGGTCCAGATTGAAGGTGAGCCCAGAGCCTGAGTGCCTGCATCTGAAACTTGCATGTGTGACTGGCAATTTCCCTCCATGTAACCTCCTTGTGCCTTAGTTACTCATCTCCAAGGAGAAATGGTACAGTTATTGTGAGGATTAAATGAGTTGATGCACAGAAAGAACTTAGAGTAGACTCAAGGACAAAACAAGGACTCGGTAGACATCAGCTGCCCTTGTTGCTGTGATCATTATCATTTTTGATTCTGATAAAATCCACTGAGTAGTCTTTGATAAGCTCCTCCTCAGTGCATGGGTTCATAGTTCTCTATCTTCTCCACTTACAACCACGGACAGTTCTGTTCTCTGCCCCCGGAATTAGGGCCAGTCATATACAAAAGTGACCACTGTGGTGAATTAAGGGCTATCAGAAACCCCCTATCCCAAACATCCTTATTCTCCCTCAGATCTTTTCTCAGCTTCTGAAATTTGAAAATCTCCTCTTGGGCCTCTTATTCCTAGTTTCCTCTCACTAATTCTTCCCCTGTGAGGGTCTTAGTTACTCTCGTCATTACCCTATCCTCCATGTCCTCAATAGATTCAACTGAACCAGTGCAGTGAGCGCCTAAGCCCTCCAGTGAAGCTTAACAAAGCAGAACATGCATCACAGTAGAGGAAGGCAGTCCAGGGTGCGAGGGCTGGGCCACCCTCCACAGCACACCTCTACTCCAGGACATCTCCCAGCCAGTGGGGAGGGGAAAAGGGCAGGGGCAGAGGGAATGCACACCCACTCCTTAAAAACACATAAACCAGCTGGGAGTGGTGGCGCCTGCCTCTAATCCCAGTGGCTGGGAGGCTAAAACAGGAAGATCGTGAGTTCAAAGCCAGACTCAGGAAAAATAAGGTGCTAAGCAACTCAGTGAGACCCTGTCTCTAAATAAAATATAAAATAGGGCTTGGGATGGCTTAGTGGTCAAGTGCCCCTGAGTTCAATCCGCAGTACCAAACATACACACACACGCACTCACATACACATACAATTATTTTATAATCATTTCAGACTTGCAGAGAAGTTGAAGAAATATTACAAAGAATCCCTTACATCTTTTACCCACATCTCCATACATTAACAGTCTGCTTCATTTGCTTTATTGTTCAGTCTTTCTCTATTTTTTCCCTAAAACTTTTGATAATGACTTGTACCTTTATCCTTCATCCCTAAATAATTTTAGTGTGTAGTATTCCCCCAAAACAAAAGCATACTCTTACATAACCTCCATACAGTGATCAAAATCAGAAATTCACACTGACATCCTATCATCTAACTTCTTGTTTTCAAATCACATCAACTGTCTCCCTAATATCCTTTATAGAGAAACAAAAATATACTGATCCAGGATTCAATTCAGGTAATCCATTGCATTTAGTTGTGCTGTCTTTAGCGTCTCTGTAATCTAGAAGTCTGCCAGCCTTTGCCTTTTATGACCTCAACATCTTTGAAGAGTGACAGCTGTTCTGAAGAGCATCCTTTCCTTGTATTGGGTGTTTCCTCATGACTAGAGTCACATTCTATCTTTTTGGCAGGAATACTGTAGAGGTAGTGTGTCCTCCTCAGTGCACCACATCCTGAAGCACCTGAGGTGATCAGTCTGCCTGATTTGGAGATGTTGCCTTGGATCAGAAGGAGAACTGTGACAGGTTTCCTCCATGGTAAATATCTACCTTCTTTGTAATTCATATCTTGTGGGAAGATTTTTTTCTTATAAATATTCTGAATATTTTGAATCTTATAAATCTTATAAAAATACCTTATAAATATTCTGCTTTTTTCTTATACTTTCACTACTAGTTTCAATCCACATTGTTGGTTCTCACCTCAACAGTTTCTTGCTATATATTAGCTATAGGTGATGATTTTTTTCTAACTCTATCTTTCTACATTAATTAGACAGAATTCTGTCATAAAGAAGAGCTTTTTTACCATCCCTATTTTATTAACCAAATATTTTACTTACCTATATTCAAACTGACTTGTATTTTTTTTTCATTCTGTGGGTTTACTATCATTATTTATTTTGTTGCTCAAATAGCTCCACATTTGATGAGAGCAAGCCCTCCAGCACGGTCCCCATGTGTTGTTAACATGCCCCCATCATTCCCTGAGCACTTCCTTACTTTCTGGCACAGCAAGATATCCCAGACTTACCTGGTTCTGCTCCTGTCCCAGTTCTAGAGCCAGCAACATATATGAAGAGCCCTGCTTCCATTTATTAGAGAATGGTACACATTTTGGATAAAGGCTCAGCCTAGGACGGATGTGCATCACTTCTCCTGCCCCCCTTGGCCAGAATTTGGTCACATGTTCACCTACAGCTACCGGAGAGGCTGGCATATTTCTCGGTGGGTGGTCATGTGCCTTGCTAGAATTCAGGAGCTCTGGGAGGAAAGAAAGGGAGAGTGGCATTAGTGAAAATGCAAAGTCCACCACAGTGCCCACCCATGCACCATGGCAAATGCTCTTCCTAAACTGTGAAATCTCATCATGCCACACTCCCCTGCCCAATTCTAGAAATTCCCCTTACTTATAAGATCAGGTTTCTAAAGTTCTCTGTACTCTACCCATAATACCCTTTCCTATTTATTCCCATGCCCAAACTCTTACAAACCATCCATTTCGACCAATGCAGATGCCTCCCCGTCCCTGATAAAAGTGGTACTCCTCCCTATCTCTGCTCACTGGCACTGCAGCCCCCACTTCTTGAGGCCAATGTTATCTCCACGAGGTCTTCTCTTGTTCCCCTATGATAACCTAAGTTAAGGTGAAATTTTTGCATTTTTAACAAATGATGCCAAACTTTTCCTTAGGAAGGTGACTGTCTTTGCTTAAGAAGATACTTGGGATCCTAAGGATGGGCCTCAATAAAACAAAGAAACCACCATCACCACCACCACCACCACCATCACCACCATCACCACAACCACCACCATCATCACCACACCACCACCACAAGCTAAACTGATCTGCATGAAATGAATAGGAATTGGCAGTGGGAAAACAAAATATTGTAGAGGATAGAACCTGGGGAGGAGTAAACCTCTTAGAAATTCAATTGCTTTTAAGAACAAGAATTTCTATTCAGTATTAAATTGTTTGCTTA